CTTTACGCAGCTTCTGGACTTTGTTTGCCGGAAGGAGATGGTGCGATGTCGCGGGGGTCTCCTCTTTTTCTGCCGCCGTCCGCACTCTTTGTTTCCGGCCTGCTGGAAGGCGCCACCACTGGCTCTCCACGGGCGTCGGAAAAAAGCTTTTGGTGAGACACTTTGTTGGGTCGCAGGAGGGTGGCGGGAGACTGCTGCCGACAACGGGGTTTGTGCGCTACAAGAAGATGGTGAGCCTGATGGGCAGTGCGATAGGGCACGTTATGCTCCACACCTACGACACACCGGGTGAACCGCGCTTTGGGGACCGGCACCGCTTTATTTGCCCCAACTCCCACACGGCCAGTCTCTGATACGGCCCGCGCCAAAAAGTTCCGCTTGCGGAAGCGGCGTGTGTGATGCTTGGGGCCGAGGGCGCCCTTAAATTGCGGTGTGTTGTGGTGTGCGGCATTCTGCGCCAGCCGAGTCCGTGGCGCGAGAGGCGAGCGCGCCAGCGGGGACGCGGCATCGCCGCCCGCACTGCGTGGCTGCTGAATGGCGGTGTGGGCGAGAGTTCTGGTCCTTGCCTGCGGTGGAGCGTTGTGGGACTCGCTCAGGCGAAGCTCGGTTGCCGCCTCACCCAAGCAGGTAGTTTCGGCAATGCGGCGTTGCTCGCGCTCGTCGAGGCGGCGGTGTGCCTATTCTCACCTGCGGTGAGTTGTGGGTGGCGGCTGGAAAGGAGCTGGCGGCGTCACCGCACCATCGCATTTGGCGCGTGGATTGTGGGGGGCAATGGCGCGTCCGCCGAGCCACCGAGGCCGTCTTGAAGTTTGCCTCTACGCAGGGGAGAGGTCAAGCGAAGAGGATATCGCCCCACGGCCCATCAGCCCCGCAGGGTCCTACGGGGCATGGGGGCAATGTGGGCGGTGCAGAAATACGAATCACGTCGTGCAGACGGCGGGCCGCCAAGGAGGCAGTCCCGGCAGAGAGCCGCCGGAAGCCATCGTTTTGGGCCCCCGAGCTGGCGGAGTTGGGCGGCGCCGCCGACAAAAGCCGCTGGCTTCTGCTCGCTACGCGCCAGAACGCAAAACAATCTTGTGGGGGTGTGCGCGGTGGAGGCGAGGAGGCGCCCGGGGATTTGCGCCCCCCGTCGCCCCGGCGGGAGCCCTCGCACAGGGGCAGCCCCACAGAGCCGGCGCCGTGGAGCCACCATGCGCTCCTTGACTTGGGGAAAAAGGCTACCCACTCAGCGCTTCAGCAGTCTGTCGCGCCGGCCAGCTGCCTCGGTGAGCTGGTGGAACGCATTCTTGCCGCTCGCGCCTGCGGCGCCATGGTGTGCCCCATGTGGCCCCCTGCGGCGATCTGGTTTCCGGCCCGAACACCCCGCAGGAGCCTACGGAGTCCGTTGCCTTGGACTACGCCAAAGCCGCCAGCGCAGTGCACCACGACAAGATCGTCCTGCACATGCGGCGAATGTCGATTGCTGGCCGCACCGTAAACTGGTGGGTGGCATTCTTCAAGTAGCAGGCCCACCGAGCGTGGCGTCGGCCGAACCACCTCCTCCCCCGCGACGTTCACGCGAAGAGTTCTGCTTGGGAACAGTGTTGGGGCCTCTTCCTGTTCATCAACGTTGCGGGCTTACTCACAGTGCTCATCTTGCTGCAGCACTTTTGTCCGTCATGGCACCTTCGCCGATAGCAGCGCCCCCACCATGCGCCACAGCGATAGGTGTGTCCTCCACTGGGCTCCGCAGGAAGGCCTGAATTTCGCGGCAGAGTGAACCACCAAGCGTTTCGTGGAGGCCAACGTTGGCTCTCACGAAGCGCTCCCTCGTTGGTACAGGAGGTGCCCCGGTCACTACGGAACGCTTTCCCGCCCTTTTGGGTGCCACGTTACAGAGCGGCCAGAGCATGAGCGGCAGCGCCCGCACCGTTTGCCCACATCGGGCAGCGAGCCAACGCCTGCTCCACTTGGAAGCGATTTCGTTGTTTTTGAAGGGGGAAGAGGGAGACCCTGCGCGGGTTATGCCTTGCCCTGCCTCGGGCGAGGGCCGCGCACAGCATCGAGGTGTGGCACTGGGGCGCCTCTCCGGCGTCTCACCCTACACTCCACTAGGTGCAACACAAAGCGTGCACGCCTACTGCGGGAATTCCGATAGGCAGTCTGCCGGAAGATGCCCTGTTGGAGGCGAAGCTGCATCCCGTCACTGAAAGAGTGGTGGTGATCCGTGGTCTAGTGGCTCCGCTGCCTGGCACCCGCAGGGTAGTTCGGCGGTCTCGTCTTGGCGCTGTTCCCTGCGCCTCCCTACGGCCCGCGCCGCGTGTCCTTTTCCACGCCTCACTGGGCGACGGTGGCGCAGCGGACCCCAACGAGGTCAAACTTCCAAACTTGCGCCCACACTGGGTCTTTCAATCGTCTTTTGCAGGAAGCGGCCGACCCTACACTCG